AATGTGGAAACATACACAAAAGAACAAATAACAGAAGGCAAGTTGGATTCAACAATGAATAGTCAAAGATTGAACAGTGAATGGGAAAACAGCAATGGACATAATGACTGATGATATTAACAAGAGGCATTGGTGAAAGATGTAACAAACTCTTAATTAATAAACTTGGTAATTAAACACCCCTGTGTGTTAGTTTTTCATCTAAACATTAAAAAAAGAGAGATTATATTTAAATTACAGTAAATTTACCTTCCCTATCAGAGTATTGAAACAGATCTATAAACATTTCAATAACTGCAGCAATCTTTAAAAAAAAAAATGTAAAGTGATACTTATAATTATAAATTTAAAGAATTGCTTTGAAATATAATAACTGGAAAACTAAATAAGAAAATACAACTAAGAAGGTCAACAAATGGTAATTCCTTAAATGTCACCAGTAAAATCATGTATGTGCTAAGGGTTCTTCACTGTGACTCATATAAGAGGGGAAGTCAGAAAATAAGTTCGTTATTTAACAACTGACATACAAGGAGGTTACTTTTTGTAGACAAGAAGTTCAATTCTTGACTCCTAAATGACACTAGAAAAAAGCCAGGTAACTGAACAAACAGTTAAATAACTTTTATGATGATGTGTGCAAACAAAATAAGGAAGTAAAAATAAACGACCATTTACGTCACTGGCACATGTGCCATATGATACCAGCTTCTATTCTGATACAATCAGCACTTGGCTGGTGACATGGTCAACATCACATCAACCGCCTTTACTTCTCAGGGCATACAATTAGGAGTGCCATCAGTTGTTGAGTTTATGCAGGCTCAAGGGACAGCACTAATTCAAATCCAGTATGAGCATAAAGCTTAGTATGGAATGAACATGATGGCCACAACATGTAGGGAACAGTGCTGTCAATCTCCTGGTGGTTAGGCTCGAGTTACAAGAAGTGGCTTTTCTTCCCGAGAGCTAACATTGATTTAATTCAGTAGCTGATGATAAAAATGTGTACCCTCATGCCACTATGTTGCTTGAACATGTGAAATACAAATGAAATCTTTCCTGTGGCACAGTCCGGGACACTGCTCATGATTACAGTTATTACACTGATGTCTAACAGGGGGTCTACATCAGCTAAGTGGTCCAGAAAAAATCCATTTGGGTGTGCCCTCCATCCATTTCCTGCATTTTTAATAAAAATGGTCAAGATTTCTGCAGGCAAATTATTTCTGAGTGTAAAACATGGATACTCTACTACTGCCCTGAGACCAATGTCCGATCCAAAGCGTAAAAGCACCCTGGCTCAACTACAATAAAAACAACTTCAAGGAATAAAACAGTGTTGCGGCAATCACAGCAAGTTTTTTGGGACTGAGTGTTTTTTGTTGAATAATGCTGTTCAACACAAGGTGCATCAGATGTAGGCCAAGGGGGTGTTGTCACTGCATGACAATATACAAACACATACATACACACACATACAGCTCATGAGACAATGAAAGTTAAAACTGAGAGGGACGACTTCACTGCCTTGAGTTATCCCATTGGCCTCAGTCTCTTGCCAAGAGACAGGCTAGCTGCCTGCCGAGAGCATCACACAAAGCACGAACTATATAGCTCCACCATCAATCTTTATAAAAACCGGACTCGTAAACTAAACAATCATCCCCTTGTGGGATGCAATTTTTGTTATTTTGAAGCACAGCCTGGCTCTTGCCAAGGGCCGCAATATAGCCCGGCCATAAACATGGTCTAATGGCTGAACACGGTTTCCGGTACATCTCCACTGGTGATCCTCATCCACATGGTGGCACTTTGTGTCATCGGGTGTTTATCGCATGTATGATGTCCTGGTGGTGTAGAATGTACTACTACTACTAAACAATGTGTCTGTGAAATGAATCCACGAACTATGAGCCAGGGTTCCATCCTCACTGCAAATTATCCTATAAAATGCTTATCACTGACCCCATGAAATGTCAAGCAGACAACAGGCCTAGCAAAATCCAACAGCTCGCACATGTATTATCTGCATAAGGCAGCCACCAGAGGTGCCAACATCTACAGTTCATTCATTCATTCAGTAGCAGTTCCCTCGCGGAACCTCGCTGCCATAACAACCCTCCGGAAAACCTTCCTATCATGAGCAAGATGTCCTGATTCTGATACACCCATCTGGAGATCATCTGCCACATCCTGCACCCATCTTCTCCTTGGCCTTCCTCTTCCTCTCTTCCCAGGCATATACCCCTCCATTATTGTTCTCTCTAGACCTCCATGACGTTTCAAGTGACCAAAATATTTCAATTTTCTTTGTTTTATTGTCTTTACTAGCCAACCCTCTTCAATATTCAGCTCTTGAAGTATGGATGCATTTGTTCTTTTCTTTACCCAAGATATTCTTAGAACCTGTCTGTAACATTTATATTCAAATGCATTTATGCGCTGTTCCGCTTGTTTAGTAAGTGTCCAGGTCTCACAGGCGTATGTTGCAATGGGAAAGATGCATGCTCTTAAAAATCTGACCTTTGTAATTCTATCTGTACAATTCCATAATTGTACAGTACACCTCTACATTTGCTATTCACAGAAGCACCAGTTATGTCAAACCAGCAGGTGCACAGGCACTGCTGCATAAGACACACCACTAATTCTGTGGCAATCAGCCTCTCATCTTATTCTGAAAATGTAGTATATACATACATCTCAGGAAGCAAAGACAATAAACATTTCTGATCAAATTCACAGCTTATCACATGATACATACAACTCAGTAGCGGCCAATGGAACTGAATCTATTTCCAGTGAATCTCTAGGAAAGCTGGTTAGGGACATTTTGAAACACCTGACCTACAGCTCTGATCTAGACCTTCAGATTTTCATATTCTCCACTGCTATAAAAAACCTACCCCAGTCAATGGTGGCATCAATGATGCAGCACAAGAGTGGCCAAATATACAGTATCCGACCTTATATCAACAGGATCTGATTCACTAATTTCCCATCTGGTCAGATTCACAGAAAAGTACTATACTGAAAAATCAGTATACTCTTTTGACATATTTTTGTAAAAGTAAACTGTTAAAAGTACACTAGTTGGGTATCTTATTTTCTGACTTCCCTTTTAGTTACATTACCATATCTGTCAATTCCTATTAAAAAGTTATAATTTATTTGCTTCCTGACAAACTTTTGATGTGAATACATAAAAGAAGTGTTTTTTTTTAAATGTGTGTGTATATATATGTGTATATATATATATATATATATATATATATATATATATATATATATATAAATATATATGTATGTATATATATATATAAATATATATGTATGTATATATATATATATAAATACATATTTATGTATATATATATATATATATATATATATATATATATATATATATATATATATATATATATATATATATATATATATATATATATATATATATATATATATATATATATATATATATATATATATATATATATATATGTGTGTGTGTGTGTGTATATATATATATATGTGTGTGTGTGTGTGTGTATATATATATATATATATATATATATATATATATATATATATATATATATATATATAGAGAGAGAGAGAGAGAGAGAGAGAGAGAGAGAGACATTTTTTTTACAGACCAATCGGCACTTGGTGGGTAATGTTATATACATATGTATGTATACTTGAAAATTGGCGATGGAATTTATAGGTTGTTTTACGATAAAGAAAAAAACAAAGAACAGTCAGGAAAACAATACAATTGCCTGAATTAAAACTAAAACAGAGACATTTGATTGTACAAGTGTGCTAAATGATGATCACCAATATTCTCACTCTAGACCAGTGGTTCTCAACCTGCCGGTCACGACTATTTTTTAGGTTGAACGACCCTGTCACAGGGGTGGCCTAAGACCATCAGAAAACATATATTAATCAAAATTATGAAAAAAATATAATTGTCTGTGGGTCGCCACAACAGGAGAGAACTGCATTAAAGAGTTGCCACAACATGAGGGAACTGCATTAAAGAGTTGCCACAACATGAGGGAACTGCATTAAAGAGTTGCCACAACATGAGGGAACTGCATTAAAGAGTTGCCACAACATGAGGGAACTGCATTAAAGAGTTGCCACAACATGAGGGAACTGCATTAAAGGGTCGCAGCATTAGGAAGGTTGAGAGCCACTGCTCTAGACACTGACATTTTCATGTTAACAGAAATTAACAACCAAATTTGTTTTTAAAGGATTTTAACTATTCTAGAAGTAGCTAAAATAGAAATCATGATTCTTTTCTGCTTGTATTTGCATCACATTGAGAATGTGATGGTCTGATAATTTCAAGCAGAACTGTGAATGTCCAAAATGTCCAATGTTTAAAAAAACACTTCTTTTATGTATTCACATCAAAAGGTTATTTTGTGATGACAGATTGACATAGAAACACTCCTAAAGTAAGACTAATGTTGTCATCACAGCTGCATGATGACTGTGTTTCATCTACACTGTAGGTCTCCTTGGTTTGTGCATACAATGCATTTCTCAGTCATATGTTAAATCATGAAATGTTTACAATTCTGATAAAGAAGTTCAGCTTATAATATGGCTGTAGAAAAATATATAGAATTCAGAAGGGAAACACATGGCAGCTACAAAAGAGAATCTAGTGAAGAACTACTAAAGAGTAAGCCAAACCATTCTAATATTAAGAAATTACTGTTTTATATCTAGTAAAATAACTATGGTTAATGAATTTACACTGTTGTAAAAGACACAGTATTCAAAAGTATGTATATTAACAAGTTTCTTCCATCATTTAGCCCAAATAATTTTACTTTCAGTAACAGATTGTAAAATCAAGTGACATAAATAACTGTTTTTATTTCAAAAGCAAAGCAAGCTTGAATTAGTTTATATATATTTGATAAGAAGGCAAGAGGGAAGCTTGAAGATAGTCACTTAATGAGGAAATCACTTACTTCTGTTCCTGAACTTTCGATGGCAGTTCACTAATTTCCCAGTGGACGCAAGATTAACGATATCTGCAATATCTTCAGCCTGTTCTGACTGGAGGGCAAACACACCAGATCCTGTAAACACCAATGGTAATACTTAATACTCTTAGACAATACTTGAAGAAGTAAAAAATATTTAATTATCTTGTGCTTTCTTATTCTCTAACCTCCCTCTTTCTCTCCTAAAAGTGAAGAAATAGGCATCAAAAGTAAAGAGTTGGGAATGTGATGGGTATATTATTTATATGTGATATTATTTAACAACTGTTTCTAGTTGTTGCTTTTAGCATCCCAGTAAATTTTCACTGCAGTCTGCCATTTAACTTCAGTTGTTAAAGGAAGCAGAGTGACCAAGAGTTACAAAATCCACCTCTGGTTAAAGAAGAATGATATAAATCAGAGTGTACATTGTTTCCAAGAGAAACTTCAGGTGATCTTACAGCAACACTAAATACATAGTTTTTCAAGTATGCAACATCCAATTGCTTTTGTTTACATTTATTATTAAAATGTTTATAGACACACTTATAAGGGACAGCTTCAAAAAGTTAATGAAATGGTCTGTATCTGACTTTAGTACTGATTCTAACCTGGAAATTAAGGTTGTATGATGGGAGGGGCTTTGGTGATTCACTGATGTACCCTTTTCATTTTCTCTATAGCTGAAGTGATAGAAGCTTTTGAACACAAATATATACCAGGTTGAACAATGTACATATTAGCTTCAGAAGCCAATATTAAACTTGCTCCAGAAAGCACACCACAATATCTTCTTCTTCTCTTCCACCTTGTACCTCAGTGAAGTGTCGAAGGGAGATGTAACGTTCATTGATGAGCTCTGTCAAGAGCACTATTAAGATTGATGTTCATTTCTGTAAGGCTGTTCTTTATGCCATCACTCCATATTTGTATAGGTCTTCCCCTCGCTCTTTACACGTTGTAATGTTTCAGTGTGACTCACATGGTAGACAATACCAGGGCATTCTTGTTAGATGTCCAGACCACTTCATTTGTTGTTTTTTGATGACCTGCAAGACTGGTTTTATTCCTAGCATTTGTCTGATTTCGTGATTTCAGACTGTCTTTCCTTGAAACTCCTGCAGCTCTTCTAAGGCTTTTCATCTCTGTTGTCACAATTTTATGTTTATCCGAAGATGTAAGTGTCCATGTCTGACACTGATGGCATAGTGCTGGCCAATAAATTGTTCTGATGAGATTCACTTTTGTACTCCTGGATACATGTTTGTGTGTCAACAGATGAGATAGTTGCTCCATTACTTGATTAGCTTTGGTACATCTCGAGCTAATTTCTTTGTCCAGTTTTCCATCAGAATGAAAACTGCTCCCAAATACTTAAGTTCCTCTGTCTGTCTTAAAATGTTGTTTTTTAATTTTATTTCTGAAATGTCTTTCTGTCTTCCTACAATCATTATATCTGTCTTTGTAGTGTTTATTCTCAAATTATATTTCTCCACTTTGTTATTAATTTGATTAAGGTGGTTCTGGTACTTTCTGGTCGTAGGCGATTAGCAATTCTGTAATATCGTTTTTATGATTAAAGTTTGTTTCCTTACAAATAGTATCCATGTATGATAAAAAGAAGTGGCGATAGTACACAGCCCTGATGCACACCAGAGTTCACTCTAAACGTTTTTGACAATCCGGCCTTTGATCTCATGCAGCATTTACTATGTGTGATTAGGCTTTTGCAAACATTAATGAGATGATTACTAATTTCCTTTTTCCCCAAATGTACCCACAACATATTCCTGTCGACTTTATCATGTTTTTTACCCTGGTTTATGAATGTCAACAAACATGTCTTATCATGTTCTATTGCTCTCTCTCTCTGATAGCTGTCTCAGTGTACATTTGGCATCTGTGCAACATACCACAATGAATAAATCCCAACTGTGTAAGTAGCACAAGCATTTCTGTGAAAAATAGAAAACAAGCAGTTGAAATATGCTGCATGACAGACAATGTGTCAGCCCAAGTCCCTCTGGTGATCTTGTAATGTGACTGCCCTGGAACATTCACCATACTTCCCACACTAAATTTTGTTTTCTTCCACATCTCAAATCAGTACTGAAAGGGGCTGTATTTCAAAGACGCTGAGAATGTTATCACCAATATGAAAATACAGCTTCAATGGATTGAGGAACTAAGAACGTCTCCAAAAACTGAATAACCATTGATAAAAGTGTGAGGTGTTGGAAAAAAAAAACTACTATGGAGGAAATGTTGTGTCAGGACTGTCCCTTGTACAGACAGGTAAACAGTTTAGAGTGGAATACTGGCCTAATGGGTCAGCACCACAATCAAAGCTATGGGGAAATAAGAAGGAAAAAAAAGTCTATTTTATCACAAAAACTTCTCTGTTGGTGTAAAAACTAGGTATGAGATCATAAAAAGATGAACAACCCAGCTAACAGGAAATGCTCACAGTAAACAAAGATTTCACAGATATTACAATTCAATTTTTCATTCTGCCACTCTGCTAAAACTGCACATAAATTAATGTGAAATTTGAAATGTGGCGAGCATCTTCACAACAATGAGACATTTACATACAAACTTCCAGCATCCATCTACAACCCTTCACCATCAAACAAGTAGCCAAGAAGTGTACTTGCCTTTGCCACAGCGTGTCCCTCCTTCAAAGCAGAATTTTCCCTCTCTAGTACCAAATCTGCGCAAATCTTCAATATTCCAAGCAATGAGAATTTTCGGTGGCACATGTGCGATAAGACAAAACCTCATGCTGTGAATCATTAGTCTGACAGGATCTTTAGGTAGCCGAGCACTAGATGGAGCTTTGACAACTTTCACAGGGAATTGATGTTCTACAGGAAATTGAGATGAGAAACAGTCAAAATGCAGAAACAAACTTTACATATTCATATTCCCATTTTTTCTTTTAACTAGCAATGGTTCTGTACTATGTAAAATGGAAGTGTCCTAGAAATTTCAATAAAGAATTATTATTATACAGAATATTTTATTTTGAATTTTTCTGGTATTGTGAGAAACTTAAGATACTCGCCTAACGACTCAAAGGTCTTGGCATCAAGGCTGATTTTTATAACTGACATGGGGTCCCCAGGTTGGACAAGCCTAAAATGGGTGCCAGGAAATTCAAGGGATGTAAAGGTGGCAAGTGTGATGGTGAGAACATCATCCATCAAGTGAAAATTGGATTACACAAAAAAGGCATTTGGTGAAATTCTACTAATATCCAAACAAGACATAAATTCTGTATGTGGCTGTATTTGAGCAAATTTTGAACACTGATATACCCAAATAGCTTGTGTGAATGTTTCTCTTTATGGGCCAGTGTTAAGTTTATAACTGACCAAATATGTGGCTGTCATGAAGAACCTGTCTGGTCGTCTAATCCGCATGTTCATGTGTACACAGAAGTGGTTGGAACAACATCAGTCTATGTTGTCAGCTGTGTCCTATTTTGATATGGAAAAGGATTAGTTTTGCTTGTTCAAGGCAGTAACAGTTACCTCGCTGTTAGGTGAGTTCTCTAATCTAGGGGCCGCATTGGCGCAGTTGATAGGAGACTCGCTTTCAAATACAGCAAGTCACTGCAGCCCACAGCCGTTTTGAAACCGGGCGGTTCCCGGGGTTCACCCAGCCTCTAGGTAATGGGCACTAGAGTTAACACTCTGTGGTAAATTGAGGAACGTCGCTGTAGCTACACAGTTATGTGCAGACAGCAACACAGGTGGACAGTTTCTTATCAGCTGTCCATATTGGTGGCAGAGCACTCATGGTTTATAATCGTGTGCAATGACGCTAGTTCACATCTCCCGACTTTACCTTTATCTAATCGAGTGCATACAAGTATTCTTTTCACGGTAGGTGACTGACTGTCTACCTATATCACTATGCTTCTTATTTAGCTGGCATATCTGCTCTATCATTTCTAGTTACACCCCAATGGGATGGTATTCTATCCATTGTTAGTGTTCTCAGCTTGGACAGTCAGTCACTGTTGGGAGCATATCAAACTAACTACATCACTAACAAACAAAACCTGCTGGCAATGATGCGTTATTTATGATTTTTAGTAGAAATTCTTATGATCTACTCCTTCATTCCATTCTGCTGTCTGTACATCACATACAGTTCACAGTCTACTTCTTCATTCCATTCTGCTGTTTGTACATCACATACAGTTCACATCTACTCCTTCATTCCATTCTGCTGTTTGTACATCACACACAGTTCACAGTCTACTCCTTAATTCCATTCTGCTGTTTGTACCTCACACACAGTTCACAGTCTACTCCTTAATTCCTTTCTGCTGTTTGTACATCACACACAGTTCACAGTCTACTCCTTCTTTCCATTCTGCTGTTTGTACATCACATACAGTTCACATCTACTCCTTCATTACATTCTGCTGTTTGTACATCACATACAGTTCACATCTACTCCTTCATTCCATTCTGCTGTTTGTACATCACATACAGTTCACATCTACTCCTTCATTCCATTCTGCTGTTTGCACATCACACACAGTTCACATTTACCCCTTCATTCCATTCTGCTGTCTGTACATCACATACAGTTCACAGTCTACTCCTTCATTCCATTCTGCTGTTTGTACATCACAAACATTTCACATCTACTCCTTCATTCCATTCTGCTGTTTGTACATCACATACAGTTCACATCTACTCCTTCATTCCATTCTGCTGTTTGTACATCACATACAGTTCACAGTCTACTCCTCCATTCCATTCTGCTGTTTGTACATCACATACAGTTCACATCTACTCCTTCATTCCATTCTGCTGTTTGTACATAACATACAGTTCACATCTACTCCTTCATTCCATTCTGCTGTTTGTACATCACATACAGTTCACATCTACTCCTTCATTCCATTCTGCTGTTTGTACATCACAAACAGTTCACATCTACTCCTTCATTCCATTCTGCTGTTTGTACATCACATACAGTTCACATCTACTCCTTCATTCCATTCTGCTGTTTGTACATCACATACAGTTCACATCTACTCCTTCATTCCATTCTGCTGTTTGTACATCACACACAGTTCACAGTCTACTCCTTCATTCCATTCTGCTGTTTGTACATCACATACAATTCACATCTACTCCATTCCATTCTGCTGTTTGTACATCACAAACAGTTCACATCTACTCCTTCATTCCATTCTGCTGTTTGTACATCACATACAGTTCACATCTACTCCTTCATTCCATTCTGCTGTTTGTACATCACATACAGTTCACATCTACTCCTTTATTCCATTCTGCTGTTTGTACATCACTTACAGTTCACATCTACTCCTTCATTCCATTCTGTGTACATCACGCACAGTTCACAGTCTACTCCTTTATTCCATTCTGCTGTTTGTACATCACATACAGTTCACATCTACTCCTTCATTCCATTCTGCTGTTTGAACATCACATACAGTCACATCTACTCCTTCATTCCATTCTGCTGTTTGTACATCACATACAGTTCGCAGTCTACTCCATTCCATTCTGCTGTCTGTACATAACATACAGTTCACAGTCTACTCCTTCATTCCATTCTGCTGTTTGTACATCACATACAGTTCACAGTCTACTCCTTCCTTCCATTCTGTGTACATCACATACAGTTCACAGTCTACTCCTTCCTTCCATTCTGTGTACATCACATACAGTTCACATCTACTCCTTTATTCCATTCTGCTGTTTGTACATCACATACAGTTCACAGTCTACTCCTTCATTCCATTCTGCTGTTTGTACATCACATACAGTTCACATCTACTCCTTCATTCCATTCTGCTGTTTGTACATCACATACAGTTCACAGTCTACTTCTTCCTTCCATTCTGTGTACATCACATACAGTTCACAGTCTACTCCTTCATTCCATTCTGTGTACATCACATACAGTTCACATCTACTCCTTTATTCCATTCTGCTGTTTGTACATCACACACAGTTCACAGTCTACTCCTTCATTCCATTATTTCCCGTGCAATGTGCATAAAATTACTATACCAGATGGTAAAAAGGCTAGTTTATTTTGGTTTGTTTGAAAAGACAATATAAACTGAACCTCCACTTTTTCCAGTAAAGTTGTAGATCCATTAGTATATATATTTGGAAACATGCTTCTCTAGAGTACTGCTCTTCAAGGCCGATGTTCCCTTTTTGGCAAATATTTCGTTTTATGATACAGATGGTTGGTAGTTGTGTTTTTATGCTGAGGTCTGTCACTATTTCACAGGAATAAAAGAAATTGTGTTGAGACATAATTTGCCCTTTTTTTTTACTTTGTTTCTAGAAGCAATGTATACCCAAAGCCACTTACTCTTCCCTTTTTTCAGCGTTATCCACCATAATCTGTTTTCAGAATTTTAGGAAAAAAGATATATTGATATATCTTATGAGGGACACAGAAGAAGAAGATGTATCTTATATTATATAATTATTATAAGATATTATAGACACACTTGCAATAAATTTATCACTAAACAAATGCATTTCGACATGAAACAGTTCAACATAACCAAATAATCCAACATGCCAACAGTGTTGACAATAGAAGATCTCTGATTCTTTCTTTTTCTGTAAACTCCGGCAGAAAGTTCTGGTTGCTCGTCCACTACTGGACCTGTTCCAATTTTGAAGGAAACACCACTGATTAATCATTTCGTACGACATGCTTATTACGAGGGCAGTGTGTCTATTCTTCCGCCACCCCCCCCCCCCAAAATGGGGCCTTGGAACCCACATTGTGGGGTGGGGGGTGGGGGGAAGATATCTGATTAAAAGATACATTCTTCCTGAACAGTTTGATAAGAAATAATTATTAATAAAACAACAAAGAAATAATGAATAATAAAGCAACACTTACCCTCTCCCATATTCTGTCTGATCTTGATTTCAAACTGAATCATGTTTTCTCTCAGCTCAAATGCCATAAGGCTGATACTTTTATGGCATATCAGAGCAAGCACATGTGGTTCTCTGTCGTATGCAAAGCCTGCATCCAACCCAAAGAAGCCATCCAAAGCAAAAACTGATTTTGGCTTTGATTCATTTTTTGTAAACTCAGTCAAATCTTTATATAAATAAACTTGCAACCTATCTAAAAAGAAGAAAATGGGTAATTCTTAAGGTGTATTCACACAGTGAAATATATAATAAACTAAGCATAAAAATCAATTGGTCAACTCACATCGAGCCAAAAAAAAATGTTTCAGCAGCTCACTGCATTTTTTAAATCAGTATTATTCATCCACCTTTAATTACCTTCTTCGTGTATTTTAGATCTCCCACTACCTCTTTTACCCTTAGGGTTTCAGTGCAAAAGAAGTTAATAACAGATTAAACATTATTTCAAAGTTAGCAAAGAAGAAAGAGTACAAATTACTCAAATGTATATAACAAAATGAAAAAAAAAATACACGAGTGTAACTACCAAGAAGTTTTCTTTTTAAAAAGATGACAATGAGATATTTGAAGGAAAGGAGAACAGCAACAGGGATAACATACGAGCAACGTCAAAAAAAAAAAAAAAAAAAAGTCAAGAAAGACTGACTGCCATCACTGCTTGTATTTACCAAATGCTGTGAAGAGAGGATGATGATGTATATATACAAGAAAAAATGAAATCAAAGGGAAGGTAAATATTAATGGGAACAAATGAAAAATAAAACATACAGCAATTTAGTGACGATAAAACAAACATCAAATACAAAGACAATGAAAAAAGTTCATCAATTTTTATAGCAGTTAAGAGAAATGACTCATAAAATTAAAAAAAAAATTAAAAAACTGGACAATACAACTATTAAAAAACAAAAGAACATTCACAGGGGATCTGGCACTGGGATTTTTAAAAATTAACCTGGGTTCTCAAATAAACCCATCCATTCTAAGACTGGCCCCAGGAAATGGTCTGGGAAGTAAAGACAACTGGCGTTATACTGATTCCATCAATTATTGAGTGCAGATTAGTTTTTTTTTAAATGATGCTAGCAATAAAGTAGTGATCATGAAACTCAAAGAAAAAATGTGAAAAGAAAAGTAAGCCTGAGTTTTGGCACACACACACACTGGGTGTGACAATATACTGCAACACACAGTTCAATACTGGTCAGATTTTATGAGCAGGTATCAAATGTTTTCTCAATGCTCAGTCTTAAAAAGCTCCGATGGCTAGCAAACACTTGAAGGATTGCAGAGCACCTAACATCCTCTGTGGTAAATTACAGATGGGCAGAAGATGACCAGGTCTGCCCCTACTAGGATTTGTGGATGTGTGCAAGGGGAACATGAAAGATACAGGTACTGAGGTGGATCTGTAGCAAAAAAAAAATTATAGTGTCTTCGTAAGGAACTGAGGATATACTTCCTAAATTGACATTTTAAAGTTATTGATCAAGTAGAGGTGACCCAATAGAAAGTCCTGCCTGATGGGTGGCAAGCCCATTTACACCAGGACTATACACTTCTAACCAGTTGAGTTCCCATCTAAATTGTCTATGTACCATTGCGATGATTGCCTTATACATCAACCCTCTAATCTAGTGCTAGTAAACATCTTTACACATGATCAGTTGGGAGTTTGCCTTTACACATGATCAGTTGGGAGTTTGCATGCTAATTCTTGTCTTCATTAAACTGTCAATTATCACTCAGGGTACACTGCCTAGTAAAGCCAAACCTACAAAGCATGTTCACTGTCTGATACTTTATCACTGCAGATTACCATGGTTCATTTCATAGTCACACACTTTTGTGTTTTCTACTAAGCTCAGCTGCAGCATCTCTTGTAGTTTTTGTTTTAGTCAATTATCATCCAATCATGCAAGTTTACTATTTATACCAAGTGTGTAATATAATTCTGAATTACCATGTTTAGTTATTGCATAGTTATTTTTAGTATTTGGCAATAACTGTGTTTTGTTTTGCTTTTGCTGACGTTTAATTTAATTCAAATGATTTCAGCTTTGTTATGTAACTAATGAGGGCTGGATTTGTTTCTATAATTAATTAATTATATTTAAAATTAATTGTAAATTAAAATATTTTGCCGTTTTCAACGTTTTGAAAAGTAAATTTAAATTATGTATGTAAATCATATGATTTAGTAAATATCAGAAAGCGAAATGCAGGTTGTACTGACTGTTCCTGCCTTCCTAACCATCACTTGCAGTTACCCCATTTACATGTCATTATGATCACAAACAAATGATCAAGAAAACCAAATGCAAATGTTGACTCACCAGCGACTGGGGATGGCTTCTTCAGAATACACCAGCGCGGCTTCCACTGAAAAATAAGCAACACAATGATAGCACTTAGTCCGCTTAATGGTAACGTTTAATGTGTAATATTATGCAACTCATGTTTCAGTACAACCTCTTTGCTAAAACTTACTTTTTTGCCATCACGGAATTTAATTTTCCCCTCAACGATAACTGTAGCATCGGCCATATTGGTCCCATATTCTCTGTAAGGAACCAAACGGAGAGCAGTGATTGGCTCGATTAGAGAAGGCTCGCCCTCGTGCACTGACCCGAGCTTCCACTATCAATGTGTAGACTGTATGTAGATGGCGCGCAGGCCTGTGTGTGTTGGGTGGTGCCGATGTTCACACTCAGCTCCTGAAATAATTCATTCATGTCCTTGGCACCAAGTTTTTTCACCTAGAAAAAAAAAAAAAGCGTAGGTATTCCCAAAACATGTGTAAAAAGGTACCCACCACACAATGCCTGTTACAGTAGCGTGGGGGGGGGGGGGGGGTGTGCATTGGGTGCCTCTGGGTACCGCCAAAGACCTTGTGATAGCACCCAGCTCCTGAAATACAATACGTCCTTGGTAATAGTGTTGGTGTTAAGACTCAGTTACTGAAATGATTCACATCATTTTTATTTTCTGGCGCTCATGTTAACGCCTAACTCATGAAATAATATACGTCCTTTGTATAGCTCTAGTGTTGTGTTAACACTCAACTCCTGCGATAATACAGTATTTACTATATATTTCATAAGTTGCGTGTTAACAGCAGCATGACAACTGTCTTTTCTCCATATTCTGCTTTGTGGCGGTTAACAGATTATCAGTTCAATGTTAAAGTCGAGAGGGTCCACTCAATTACACCGAATTCTACCCCATATGGCTCTCTCCGCATAACTGGTGGCTACCTGCCAAGAGCATCACACAGAGCACGAAATCCGGCGACGATCCACGGGAATCTCTATAAAAATTGCACTCGTGAACTAAAGAGCGCTACCGTGAAACGAACCCACGACCTATAGAGCGCGAGGCAAACGGCTTGATCACTTTACCACGGGGACCTCCGGGTATCCGAGCTAGGGCACGCTAGTTTGGCTGGTATGCCGTTATGTTGTGATCCCTCAGGGTGTCAATGACTTCTATAATCCATATTCTTCTCGGTCTTTCCCTATTTTTTTTTTTTTTTTTCAAGCTGTTTTCTCCTTTTTCTGCCAGAAATAAATTCACCCTCATTAAGTGCTCAAACCATTTAAGTCTTTGTTTGTTAATTAATTTAAATATAGGCACTGTTTCAATAGTTCTTGTTCTCCGAGTGGGTTCCGTCGCGCTGTTATAAGAAAAACAAGAATAGACCCACTGCCTACTCAAAAGCATGTCGTAAGAGTCGACTAATTGGGAGCTTCCTTCAAAGTCAGAACGCATCTGCCTAAGAGGCAAGAAACCAACAGTCTGCATGCAGACTGGTCAGATCTGTCAAGGGGATGTACACGTAACACTCAAGTTCTGGAACAGGACTGCAGTCCAGAAGGGGAAGAACAACCAGAACTTTCCGCTAGAGTTTACAGGAAGAAGAAAAAGAAGAAGAAGAAAGAAGAAGAAGAATAGTTCTTGTAATTTCTTCGTTTCTCATATGATCTCTTCTAGTTGTGTTTACGGCCTTTCTTACACATCTGATTTCGAGAACGGCTATCACAATTTTCACAATTTAGCAGATCATTTGCAGAAAGTCTCTCATCTCGCCGAAAAGAAACTCGATCCCTCGCCCCGTGCATGTTTCTACCCCGGTCGTTTTATGCCCACGTTCATGCTCGTCAGCATCTGCTTCTGTTCCAAGGTAACCTGCCATTTATTATTTTTCTTCTCTGGTTATTGAATCCTTTGACATAGGCAAAGTCAATATGGCCAAGATGTTATTTACACAGTTGCGGGTCGTGATATAGTCACACGTGTAACTATTAGCAGGTAGCAATTACACTGGATAAACTATCAAGGGATATTTTTCTCCTCGTCATTTCGCTGTTGAGAGTATACACACGCAGCAAGCTGCTTAGTAGTGGTAACTGGTAGCGTTCACACGTTTAAGCTTCTGAATGAAGGGTGTAAGCATGCAGCTAGTGTTCTTTTCGCTATGTTCGATACGAAAAGCCGAGTTGGTTATAATTAGCAGACAGGAATAAAAAACCAAAAAATGCATTCTTTTTTTGGAATGGGAAGTGTAAGCTGTGATTACTGCCCCACATGCACCCCTGGCTATTGTGTTTAGGAACAAATTTTCCTGGATGTTCAGATCTTTTATAATGTCAGTTTTTTCTTCTTCTTGATCAAAGGTTTAATGTCTCCCGTGCACATACTTTTATTAACAGTATTTTGATTGCATCTACTTTTTTCACCTTCCTATCTGCAATTTCATTACAATGTTTTCCCACGTGAGCTGGTATCCATACAACCAGCACTGAGCAACCTCGTGTGTTTAGATGTGCGGTAGCCGGGAAAATCTCTTCTATTAAGTCTGGTCTGTTTTACATCTTCCACAAATAGCTTACTGTAAATATTGGTAGGAGTGGGGGCATTCAAGGGACTGGAGCTCTCATGATCTGGCGCAAAGGCATATACCTCAAGAAGATATTCATCATCATCATCATCATCAATGAGAATGTCCTTTACAGAACGTCACTCTCCTCGCTCGTCGCTCTCCTCGCGGCACGCCTGAAAGTATCACTTTCTCTAACCAGCTCTCCAGCCCCATGAGCATTCAATGTCAATGCATCTTCAATGTCTTGTATCCACCTTTGCGGGGGTCGACCCATGCCTCGCTTTCCACAAACTGTACCCTCCATCACCGACTTTTCCAAGTCACCATGACGTTTGATGTAGCCAAAATACTATTGCTTTCAGCACAAGACGCTGTTTATGAGCCAGTTCTCCTCGATTGATTAACTCATGTAGAATGTCGATGTTTTTTTTCCTCTTCTTGGTCCATGGTATTCTGCAAATTTTTCTTAACATTTTGATTCAAAAGCTCCAATCTTTTTCTTCAGTGATTGAGTGAGAGCCCAGGACTTACAATCGTAATATAATAACTAATTTACAGGTGCTTTGCCATAGGTTTTTCATGTTGTTAAATCTCAAGAAGACATTGCAGGGTGTTATTTTGATTCACACACCCCAGACAGTGCCTCGTCCGCCCGCGTCCCAGACCCAGGGCACAAAAAAAAAAAAAAAGTCAATTAACCTGACACCGGAAGCAACCGATTATTTACAATATGGCGGCACCAACAGGTATTTTGAGAGACAAAACATGGAGTGCGTTTTTTGAAAAACATATACGCGTTCCTGCAGCTTTGCACCGTGAACATGCAGCACACGACATCAGCACTCCAGTCTGCATTTCTCTGAAGATCCTTTCTGGGCTAACCGTTTCCGTGAGTCTCATCAATTTACAGTAATCTTGCATCCACTAATCTTTTTGTTCTGCTGCATTCGTGTTTTAACATGCCAGTGAGTGCTTTCACTTTACATTACATATTTTGTCTTTATGTTATTTTGAAATTTCGTTAGTAAAAAACTGGATTGAAGATCTATAATAATAATTTGAAATTTATAGTTTGAAAAGTTATAGTTTGTAGATTTTACAGCTAGGGAATATTAATATTATGTTGTAGCTTTTCTTGTCTTAGCCAAGTTATTTTATGTATTCTGTTATCTAATCTTAACATTGTCAGTTAACAGTATATGCTGTGTACTGATGATGGCTTTCTAGCCACAGTCCTTATTTTATGATTTAAATAGTTGGGGGGGGGGGGGGAGCGAAAAGTTTTACTTATAACAGTCTAAATTTTTTCTTTCACGAATAATAGTAGTTTATTTGGCCCTAATGGCAAATTTGGCCGGTAAGCTGGACTGCTTCGGCTGGCTTAGTGGGGCTTAGTGGGAGTTATGTCCCTTCGCGTCCCTTCGCCAAACTCAAAACAAGTCGCGAAAAAAGTCCCGAATCAAATGACATACTTACCTATTATCATCCGGGTGCGTGTAGGGCTGCGTAGGGTGGCGTCTAGGGTTACCTATCATCATACGGTTGCGCGTAGGGCTGCGTAGGGTGTCTATCATCATCATACGGTTGCGTGTAGGGATGCGTAGGGTGTCTATCATCATCATCATACGGTTGCGTGTAGGGTTTGGGTTAGCGGTAGGGTTAGTGGGGTAGGGTTAAGGGGAGGGTTAGGGGGTAGGGTTAGGGGTAGGGTTAGGGTTAGATGATGTGACAATATTCACGTAGAAGGTGGAAATACTTGCCGACAATGACAATTCAATGAGTATGATCCGGAGGGTTCAGGCAGGTTCAGTGCGAAGACAATGGCTTGAATCATTACAGAAGTCCTCTGTGCGTGGAGTCACCTTTATTTTTGTTCCGGGATACGCAGGCGTCGATGGAAATGAAAGAGCTGACAGGTTGGCTGGATCCGCTATCACTACTGACGGTCGGCCTATGGATCATGCTGATATTATCAATGCCCTCAGAGAAATGGGAAGGATAGAGGACTTTGGTGGCAGTGAATCCACATCACTCGCCAGAATGGCAGACTTGGGAATTAAGATCGGCACAGCAAAAAACGAGACGCACACCGGACACGTCAGAAGACTTGTTAATCAACATAGAACTGGTACTATTAGCCATCGGACGTTGGGGTTCATACTGAGGGGAGGATCTGAGCACCTATGGACATGTCCGGAGTGCAATGACGATAACCCAACTAACTAACTAACTAACTAACTAACTTGCCGACAATCTGATGCTTGTGGGAGTGGCGCCACTGGAAGTGTGCCAAATATGACGGCAATAGCGCGCGGCGGCTGGTGCCCCAATCGGTGGCGAATTGTCCGTGTCAGTAGCATCCACCGTCCGTCGACTGTTTGCGCGTGCATGCGACTGTGCGCGATTGTAGGGAACTACGGCGTCACAATTGTCACATCTAACGCTACGTCTAACCCTAAACCCTAACCCTAAACCCTACACCCTAACCCTAACCCTAAACCCTAACCCTAACCCCTAAACGCTAACCCTAACCCCTAACCCTACCCCTCATCTATCTTACGCAAACAACCAACCCTACACGCAATAAGCAGCCCTACACGCAACCGTAGAACGATGATAGACACCCTACGCAACCCTACACGCACCCAGATGATGATAGGTAAGT